GTGACCCTGAACTGTTGAGCAGCTAAAATCCTATGTTAAGCAAGAATGTTCTCCTCAGTTCCCAAACACTTACAGAGTGTTGTTAAAAGAAGGTGATGAAACACACTGGTAAACATGCCCCTGTCCCAACTTTTTTGGAATGTGTTGCTGGCATCAAATTCAAAAATGGACAGTTATTTAAAAATATTAGAATTTCTCAGTTTCAACATTTAATATGTTGTCTTTGTAGTGTTTTTTCATTAAAAAATATGGGGTTTCATGATTTGTATATAATTGCATTCTATTTTTATTTATGTTCAAAGGCAAAGGCATCACTCGGGCCCTCTTCTCCATCTACCATCTAGAACCCTACATCTGCCTCTCGAGGGGGCAGATGTAGTGGTTCTAGCCAGTCACTGCTCTCCAGGTAGTGAACTCATAACAGTCAAAGTTTGACCTTTTTTCTGCCCACAGACCTCAGCTCAGCCATCCTCACTACGGTCTATATCCTTTCTCAGGCAGATAAGTCATGTGCATTGTAGGGGTGGGAATCGCACCTCACGATTCGATTCGATTGCGATTCAGAGGGCTGCGATGCAATTATAAGACGATTATCGATGCATCTCGATGCATCTTTTTTTCTATACAGGATTTCTATTTTCATACTGTCTGAGGACTTGGTAGTTTTACAGCAAAGTATTTGTAATGATCCATAGTGAATTTACTTCCAATATCTTTTATTAATAAATCAAATGGAAGTGATGTGGTAAGTGAACTGGAAGGCTCTCATTCACTGCTATTGTTTGGAGCACATGAGACGCTGCTGCCACTCATCTGCGATAAAATGCACAGTTACGGTGAAATAAGATCCAATGGCAGTGGATGTCCATGCAGCACATGTAACAGCTATCCCACCCGTTTAATTCAGTGATTTTATAACTTTGGTTTTGGTCTCATTGTAGAGACGGGGGAGGGGGGGAGCGCTGTGTCAGTAAAATATCTTTGAGACAGGATGTGTGCAGCATTGTGCGAAAGCCCTGTTTCGCAACGACTGAGAACTGGCTTCAGGTCACATAGCAACGATGCGTTATTCGCATTTATAAACAGCGCAGTTGATTCCTGGCAAGTTAAATCTGCAACTAGAGACTGTCAAACACTAAAAAGTTGCGAAGATGAAGTCGCTTCTCTTTTGAATTCTCCCGTTCCACCTTAAATGGTGCCGTATTTACATTCGGCGCCTCAGTCAGAATTTAAAGTGGAACGGGAAAATTCGAACAAGAACCTGGAGAATAAGAACCGACTTCAGCCTCATAAAACAGTCGAAGGTTTAGAGACATTTTACGAGAAACTGATCTACTTCTGAAGAAAAGTTTTCTGGTGGAGATGGGAGGAAAGCGGCTATAGCTAAAGCTTAAAGCAGAGTAAAGTAAATCTGCATTTTTGTTTATATTGTTTAGCCTCTACTAGGACATTATCACATACTGAGACATACTGGACATAAATGTTGTGGCTCCCTAGATGGTTTGATTTTTGTTGAAAGGACAAAATGTCTCTTCTTATCATTTGGGTTGTGACTCCTGACCTAATCTGGCTTTTAATGCAGAGGGAGCCAGTCGGATTTCTCGCTCATCCAGTTGTGTCTTTGTTATGTGCCGCCACAGAGTGTCTGGGCGCTGCACTTACCCACTTCCAAGTTCCGCCTTTTGCGTTCCGTCAACATTACATTACAAATTAAATATTTAGAAAATCGATTTTTGACGTTTGTGAATCAATTCAGAATCGTTCACATCTGCATCGCGATGCATCTAAGAAACGATTTTTCCCGCACCTCTAGTGCATTGGATGTTTTGTATGATACCATTAATGGACTTGAGAACACCCTGAGGATGTTTTTGTTGTCATTGGGGATTTTAACAGGACAAACTTGAAGAAGGTTCTGCCCAAATACTATCAGCATATTACATTTTCCACCTGAGGAGAACAAATACTTGACCACTGCTACACTGCACTCAAGGACAGTTACAGACCCCTCTCCTGCCCTGCCTTCGGCAAAGCTGATCACACTCCTGTCTTCTCCTGCCCACATACAAACAATGACAAACAGGCAAAACCAGTTCTCAGATCAGTCTGTCAATGGAATGAGGAGACCATCTTCACACTTCAGGACTGCTTTGAATCCACAGACTGGAAGATGTTCTGTGATGTGGCTGGCACTGACATCAATGAATACACCGATTCCATCACAAGCTACATCAAAAAATGCACTGATGACATTATACCAAAAATCAATGTCAGAACATTTCCCAACCAGAAAAATCAAAGCTGAGGTTCAAGCAAAACTAACAGCTTGAGCCGATGCCTACAACTCTGGTGAATTGGCTAGCTACAAGAAGGCCAGATATGAAGGACCATCAGGCTGACAGAATGGGACAGAGTGGAATCCAACTACCTCAGCTCTGTTGTCAGACGTTGTTACTTGTTGGTCTAGGGTGTGGAGTGGACTGCACACTATCACTGACTACAAAGGAGGTATGATCTGTGATAGGGGTTCTTCCTCCTCACTTACAGATGAACTTAAAACTCATTATGCTCATTTTGAGGCAAAACACCTCCCCTTCTGAAAACTCCCAGTAGATCAGGAGAGCTGCACTCTAACCATTCCCCTGTCTGAGTTGGTGAGATCCTTCAGGGCAGTTAATCCATGCAAGGCATCTGGTCCTGAAGGATCTCACCAACTCAGACAGGGGAATGGTTAGATCCTTCAGGGCAGTTAATCCATGCAAGGCATCTGTTCCTGATGGCGTCCACAGTCGTGTACTTAAAGCATGTGCCAGCTAGCTGGCTGAGGTTTTCACTGACATTTTTAACCTCTCCCTAAGACTGTCAGTGATTCCCACATGGTTTAAGGAAACCATAATTGTTCCAGTTCCAAAGAAACCGGCTATCACCTGTATGAATGACTACCCCCCGTTGCACTGACATGAACAGTTATGAAGTGCTTTGAGCGGCTGGTCAAAGCTCACATCTCTTCAACACTTCCAGCCACCATGGATCCTCACCAATTTGACTGACTCTGAGCACAGGGGCTCCCTAGAGATGTGTACTCAGCCCCCTATTGTACTCCCTGCATATACATGACGGTGTAGCCAAACACACATCTAACATCATCTTCAAGTTTGCTGATGACACTACCATCCTAGGCCTCACTGATGGAGACGAAACAGCCTACAGAGCCGATGTCAGCGCTCTGTCAGAGTGGTGCCATGACAGCAATCTCTGTCTCAACATCAGCAAAACAAAGGAGATGATCATGGACTACACGAAGAAGTAGAGTGCAGGTCACTCTCCCCTATACATTAATGGAGAGAGTCAGCAGTATTAAGTTCCTCGGGGTACAACTCACTGATGACCTCACCTGGTCCCTCAACATCAACACTATTGTGAGATCTGCCCGTCAGTGTCTCTTCTTCCTGCATAGGCTCAGGATGTTTGGTCAGCCTCCTGACATCCTCACCAACTTCTACAGATGCACCATAGAGAGCATCCTCACAGGCTGCATTACTGTCTGCTACAGCAGCTGCACTGCCTGTGACCATAAGGCCTTAAAGGGAGTGGTGAGGATGGCAGAATCTATCACAGGCAACAAATTACCAGCCTTACAGTACATCTATCAGTCCCGCTGCCTCAGGAAGACCTAAAAGATCCAATCATATAGCGTCACCCAGCACATGGCTCATTCACTATCCTGCCATCAGGCAGGAGATTCTGCAGCATTCAGGCTAGAACAACCCGGTTAATGAACAGTTTCCGCCCACAGGCTGTCAGGCTTCTGAACAAGCTGAGATACTGTTGGTCCTTCCCCAACTGCCATTTCACACTGTCACTTTGTTAGTATTATTTATTATACAATGTATTGCCAAAAGTATTCGCTCGTCTGCCTTCACACGCATATGAAATTGAGTGAGATCCCATTCTTAATCCATACGGTTTAATATGATGTTGGCCCACCCTTTGCAGCTATAACAACTTCAACTCTTCTGGGAAGGCTTTACACAAAGGTTAGGAGTATGTTTATGGGAATTTTTGACCATTCTTCCAGAAACATATTTGTGAGGTCAGACACTGATGTTGGACAAGAAGGCCTGGCTCGCAGTCTCCCCTCTAATTCATCCCAAAGGTGTTCTATCGAGGTCAGGACTCTATGCAGGCCAGTCAAGTTCTTCCACACCAAACTCTTATCCATGTCTTTATGGACCTTGCTTTGTGCACTGGTGCGCAGTCATCTTGGAACAGGAAGGGGCCATCCCCAAACTGTTCCCACAAAGTTGGGAGCATGTAATTGTCCAAAATCTCTTGGTCTGCTGAAGCATTAAGAGTTCCTTTCACTGGAACTAAGGGGCCGTGCCCAACTCCTGAAAAACAAGACCACACCATAATCCCCCTCCACCAAACTTTACACTTGGCACAATGCAATCAGACAATTACCATTCTCCTGGCAAACGCCAAACCCAGAGTCATCCATCAGATTGCCAGATGGAGAAGCGTGATTTGTCACTCCAGAGAACACATCTCCACTGCTCTAGAGTCCAGTGGCGGCACTTTACACCACTGCATTCGACGCTTTGCATCGAGCTTGATGATGTAAGGCTTGGATGCAGCTGCTCGGCCATGGACACCCATTCCATTAAGCTCTCTACGCTGTTCTTGAGCTAATCTGAAGGCCACATGATGTTTGGAGGTATGTAGCGATTGACTCTGCAGAAAGTTGGTGACCTCTGCGCACTATGCACCTCAGCATCCGCTGACCCCGCTCTGTCATTTTACGTGGCCTACCACTTAGTGGCTGAGTTGCTGTCATTACCAATTGCTTCCACTTTGTTATAATAGTGCTTACAGTTGACTTTGGAATATTTAGTAGTGAGGAAATTTCACGACTGGACTTGTTGCACACGTGGCATCCTATCACGGTACCATGCTGGAATTCACTGAGCTCCTGAGAAGCATGCTTTCATACATGTTTGCAGAAGCAGTCTGCTTGCCTAGATGGTTTTATACACCTGTGGCCATGGAAGTGATTGGAACACCTGAATTCAATGATTTGGATGGGTGAGTGAATACTTTTGGAAATATAGTGTATCATATCACATATAACAATAACACTGCGCCACTGTAAAATGTATATATATATATATATATATATTGTTCTCAGATTATTCCTTGTTTGATATATTTGTACAAAGCAGAGTTTTCTTAAATAGATCCCTCTTGTCTCTGTATATTTTGTGTATATTTATTATATTTCAGTTTTAGTATTTTCTTTTGTATTTTAATTTTGTTCTGTCTGCACTGTTTTTAGTATGTTTCTAGTGCTGCCTTGCTGTAGAGTGATTACCTGAGCCTCACCACAAGCATTTCAATGCATTAATGTCCTGACATGCTGTGCAAATGACAAACTTGAAACTTGAACCTGAACTAGGGGCAGTCATAGGCTGGAGGTTAGGGAACCTGCCCTTACACAAAACACAAACCAACACTCTGTGGTTGGTTTTTGTTGCATATGAGTGAAATCACCCTTTCCTATAAAAGAACATGTTCAGATATGAAATGTACCAGACTCTCCAAAGAAGGTTAAATGTCTGGCTTTTGAGATTAGGACTTTATTAACCCTTAAACCTCAGTGATGCAGCAATACTGTCCATTCCTTCAGATCATTTCTTCGGAGCTCTTCCAGATACATGTAGAAAGTTTAAAAGAGTTTCTGAGTCTGAACTGGATTGCTGTTGATGACTTGCCTTTAATGAACCTCTCTGGGAGTATGTTGAGTGTGTGTCAAGGCAGAATCTCAACGCACACACTCTAAGATGTGTTTGGCTTGTCAGATAATTGTGTAAGCAGGTGTTTTTGAGAGTTTGATGAACATAAGTGAGTATCTACATGTACAGTTTGCCTTTTAAAACAACTGTGAAGGTCCACTTTATAAAAGTAAAAGTATGAAAAACATGCTAAAGTCTGTGTAACCATGTCTTCCAGGAATGAAGTTTCTCTGTGTGGCAGTACTGATTTTCTCTGGCTTTATGGAGACCAAGTCAGGTAAGTGTGTGTGTGTGTGTCTGTGTGTGTCAGAGAGAGAGACACATAGGGAAGACAGACAGAGAGAATCAGAAATGATAAAGTTAATTTTATGTACAATACTCATAAAATATTACTAACGTGCTGAGTTCACTGTGCAAACTCTTCTCCATATGCGTTGAGGGGCGGGTTGATGGAGATACAATCACTGTATGACTTTTAATAAACAATATAATTTATCATTTTTATTCATCATTTTATCATGGCATTTTTGATTATTATTTCTTCTTATATTTCTTATAACTTCATATAACTTAAAATTCATCCATGATTCCTGCATTTTATGCATGTGTATGCACATAAGAGAAAATATGAAGAAGCAAAACAATAAAAGCTGACATATAATTGAAAACATTTTTGTTACTTTAATAAAGGTGGAAATTCTAATATAGAATTGTATGCTTATTTGTATGGTTAAAGCCCACCCCTACAGCATATATCATTGGTGAAAAATCTTAAAAGGGGTCTATAATGCAATTAGGTGCGCAAAAAAAAATAAAAGAAACCTAACCGAGAGATAGCAGAATCTTAAAGAGTCGCCTATTCAACAATTTGGTACAATCTCATAAAGAAGGAATGCACTGGCAAGCTCAGCAACATCAGAAGGCCTGGAAGACCATGGAAGACAACTTCACAACATCTAGTCAAGTCAGGGACATTCTAGAGGAGGTTGGTGTGTTATTGTCAAAGTCTACAATCAAGAGACGCCTTCGTGTATATAAATACAGAAAGTTTACCTCATGATGCAAACCATTGGTAACACTCGAACTGAAAGGCTAGAAAACATCTAAAAAGCCTGCTCAGTTAAAGATTTTTTGGACAGATGAAACCAAGATGAACTTGTTCCAGAATGATGATAAAGGAAGGGCTCATGATCTGAAGCTTACCACATCATTTGTGAAAACTGGTGGAGGTAGTGTTATGGCATTGGCATGTATGGCTGCCAATGGAACTGGGTCTGAAGTGTATAGATACCTTTTGCTCAGATTCAGTCAATTATTGCAAAACTGAGAGGATGGTGCTTCACAGTACAGATGGATAATGACCCAAAACACACTGTGAAAGAAATCTAAGAGCTTCAGAAGGCAAAGAAATGGAATGTTTAAAATGGTGTCAGTCACCTGACCTCAACCCAACTGAGCATGCTTTTCACTTACTGAAGAACAAAATGAAGGCAAAAGACCCACAAGAAGGAAGCAACTGAAGGTGACTGCATTAAAGACCTGGCAAAGCATCTCAAGGGAGGGAACTCAGCATTTGGTGACATCTGTGGGTTTCAGAAGTCAGACAGTAACTGACTGCAAAGATTGTAAAAATAAACCTTGTATTTATAATTATATTGCTTGTCCAATTACTTTTGAGCCTGTGAAAATGGAGGGACTATGCAAAAAATGGTTGTAATATCTAAAGAGTTAATGCAATATTTTTGCTAAACCCCTTGGATTAAAGCTCATAGTCAACACTACAGTAATATTTTGACTGCTTCATTTCAAATCGATTGTGGTGGTGTACAGAGGCAAAATCGCAAAATTGTGTCACTGTCCAAATACTTATGGACCTGACTTTATGTATTGTTTTATCTTTTTCTGGTCACATTCTGAACAAATAAGTCATGAGAGTCATTGTCTTTCACCACAACATGAAGCAGAGCAAAATCAGCATTATATGACCTTGAATGAATTGCTGTCCTTAACGTGGCAAAATCTTCACATTATTGCAAAATATAATTGATGTGCTCGGTCAGATTTGTGTATTGTGTATTTTATTATGGCCTTGAACATGCCTCAGCTACACTTTAAAATCGATTTCCATTCTATAATTGCTGATTTAGACATCAGATGGTAAAAAAAAATGGCTAATAAGGTATTCTAATGGCAGAGCCAAAGGATTAATAAAGTAAAACCATAACCAAAATCATATAAACAGAAAACTATGCACTGTTTATGACAACAAGTCCAGATATTGTGACCAAAGTTTAGGAAATTGTTTTATTTACTTACAAGTACACTTGGGTGGGCAGCAGAGACACCTGCTCTGCTTAGCTCTCCTCTCATTTTCTCCCTCTCTCCTCCAGTCCTAAAGTTTAATGTCCAGTCATCTCTTTTCCTCTCCCCTGCCATCCAGTCATCTCCTAGATCCTTTCTGTTCCTCTTGTTCATGGTAACTCACTGTGAATGAAAGCTGAATGTGACAAAAAAAAACAAAACAACAAACACTGTACTTTAATCAAACACTGATAATGCTATTTATCATAAGCGAATACAGCTACGCAGAGTATTATACAAACATGTAATAAATAAACACTACTACCATCTACGTTACACATGCACCACTACAATGATTACCACTTTTTCAGAGACTCGTTGGATTTCTAACATGTATAACATAAAGCTAATTAGCTTTCCAGCTAACTTAGCTATGATAGCTAATGTTATTGACTTCTTATTGATTAGCACTCACAAATTTTCACCGAAATGTTTGTTTTCACTTCATACTACTACTAACTACTGCCACTTTTTAGCTAAGTGCATTTTAGCTATTTCTGCATTTACAGTTCCAGTGCAAAGTGATGTATTAACATCAACATTACCTTTTCGTGAAAGTCAGAGACGTTATAAAGACTTTGCTGAAGTACACTGCCAACTAATGTCTTGTGAAACTGGCATATGAAAATAATAAGTACCCACTCTGAAACTTGTAGCACTTTAAAATTTGGAAAAAAACAAACAAACAAACAAACAAACAAAAAAATTGTATTGCTTTAAATGAAAATTATTTACTTGTTCAATAGAAGTTCAATATAATGTATAGATGATTATAACATACTCCCAAGTCACCGAATTTAGTTAAATTAGGCTTCCTCTACATCACCATGTTCCCTTATAGAAAAAAAAATACAAAGCTAATTAAAACTTTTATAAATATATTCCACTTATATTCCACTCTGAGATCCTGTGGGTCCACACACTTATACTGTTGAATATTTAGCCAGAAAATCAGAGGATGAAAGAAGGGGGGAAATAAAATTGGGTACCTCTTTTGTTCTCTCTTTTTTTTTCCTTGTGGCCCTGACATGGCACTGGTAATCAGATTGGCCTTAAACTAATCTGAGATCTGAGCGTTCGTGGTAGCTCAGACAACTATCTGGGTGATGGTCTAGGTGAATGTCAGCTTTCAGAACAGTCCTGAGTCCGCTGTATAAACTCCATCTAAACTCTGTGGGTGGACTGGCTTTGTCTGAATTGATTGGCCCACATGGCTAACTAACAGTTCTCGGAGTGAGACAAATTAACTTCTTTGAGTTTAAGTTTTTCTTGTTTCTACCTGTTCTGCCTTGTTGGTGGCTTATTAAGATTCTCAGTTTGAAAACCTAAAACAACTGAAAAGACAGTAATAAAACTACATTGTGTTTCATGTTATAAAATTACATACAAAGCTTATGAATCATCTCTCACCCCTGTCTTACTCACAGCTGTTCCCCCCTTCACCTCATTCCCTCTCCTCTGCTGATTGGAAGTTAAGGAACAGATGAAAAATTAAATACAAAAAACATTTTTTTTTATAGCAAAACTGCATTGAAACATCAACACATTTCTTGGAGAATAACACACAGTTTTATAGCATTAGAAAAGTAGTGGGGAGCATATACATACAAATCTCCCAAGTGGGTACAAATAGTTTATATCAGTATATTGGGGAGGGACATTCTGAGCATATATTGTGATTATGGCCATCAAATACTAATTGCTACTTACATCAGAACTACAAGCACATTTCTATGCACTGTAAGGCTAAACAGTGTCACTGCCTTGTTTATATATGTTTACAGCTATGTTTTAAAATGTTTTCTATATAGGCCTACAAAATGCTAAAATATATATTTAATTCCTGAAAAAGCTCCTTGTGATGATGACAGTAGCCATAACTGCTTCATACATTTTACCATACTGCCTATGCATTTTATACACTGAAAGTGAGAACAGTCATCATTTGTCTGCAGTCTCAGGGTTATTATCCATCTTGAGTTAATTAAACTGACCAAACTTTTACCACAGATGTGATCATGCGATCATGATTGAACCAAAATATTCATGTGGCATGCAGTTGGAAGATGACAAAATAAGTGTACTGTGTAATATTTACAAAATAAACAGTTAGTCCTAAGTTTTAATAGAATAATAATTTTGTGCCATGGTGGTAATTGTGAAAAGAAAAATGAGTTTTGTTACATTAGTAACATAATGAAAGCTGGATATCCATGTGTTCGATCTTTCAGAATTGTTACACCCCAAATATATACTATATATTATATATAATTTATGACATACATAACTATCTTGAATACTAGATGTCTTGATCTTGACTCAGACTTGATGTGACTTGGCTCTAGTGGTCTTAACATGCTACTGCAATAGAAGTAGCCCAATTAATTGAGAATGCAAATACAAATGTGTAAAAAATGAATTGAATTTGAACTCGACATTAAATTTTGCGCACAAAATTATTTACCCTGGAAGTCACCAACGCCCTCAACACTGTGAATACTATTGAAAATGTAATTTTCAGGAAAATTACCCAGCAAATGCAAGTGTGACAGGACCAACTGTGATGTCCTGTGTTATTGATATAAACATGTAAGTGCAGAATTATTTTATTATATGAATTTGTTTGCTCATTGCAGAAAACGTTAAGGTAGTTGGCCCAGCTGCTCCTCTTGTTGCTGAAGCTGGTGAAGATCTGGTTCTGCCCTGTTCTCTCCAACCCAACATCAGTGCTGAGGATATGGTGGTGGAGTGGACCAGACCTGATACTGACAGTCTAGTACATCTCTATGAAGATCATGCAGACAGATATTATGACCAGATTAAGTCTTATAGAGGAAGAACAGCTCTATTTAAAGAAGAACTGCAGAAAGGAAACACTTCACTGAAACTCTCAGTGGTCCAGACTTCTGATGAGGGAGTTTACAAGTGTTTAGTAAAATCAGCGTCCTGGTATGATGACATCACTGTTAATCTTGTTCAGGTTAAAGGTAAGGGCAATGGCATTCTTAATACTTCAGTAAACAAAAAGAGTTATCTAGTATCATTAATTTTCTTTACGATTAGGTAAATTTAGGGCAATGTGGCTTTTTTATTTGTATACAACAGGAAAGAGAAAAAGGGTCAACATTTTTTGTTTTATTTTCTGTTATCTATGAACAATCAGGCTGGTTGTTTAATTAATTTGCACACAACTATGGTAGACATAATAAATTCTACACACCCTTGTTAAAATGCCAGGTTTATGTCATATAAAAAAATCAGACCAAGATGAATCTGACATTACATTGACATTGTCAGGCTTACCTGACATTTTCTTAGTTGCATTTTACAGCAAAAGCCGTGGTCCGTAAAGAGCTTACAACACATTAAAGGGATCTGACTGTTGAAAGGTATCAGTCAGGAGGAGGGTACAAAATTAGATATACCATGGAACACAGTGAAGATGGTCATCAAGAGGTGGATTAAATTTGGGCTCCTGAGTGGCTATCATCACTCCCTATCATCAGGACACCGCAAGTTCGATCCCTGGTGATGCTGCAGCCATCTGTGGCCGGGAGTCCAAGAGAGCACCATTTGACCTCGCTCTCTCTGGGTGGGTAGGATGGCCCCCTTTCTCCCCCCATCACTCAACGCTATGCTAGTCAGTGCAGGCGTCTGCTAGCTGACGTAACAGATCTGGCGGTTGGCGCTTTCCTCCGAGTGCATTCAGCAATGACGTGTGAGCAGCAGTTCAAAAAGATGCGGTGGCTGGTTTCACAGGTCTCGGTGGAAGCCTGTGTTAGGCTTCACCCTCCTAGTGTTGGTACTATCATGTGATTGCAGGAGTCTTAATTAGCGGCTGGAATTGGAAACGACTAAATTGGGGAGAAATTTGTGTAAAAATCAAAAAAAAAAGAAGTGGATTCAATTTGGCACATAAGCGACATTACCAAGAACTGGACGTCCCTCAAAAATTGATGAAAAGACAAGAAGACAATTGGTCTGGGAGGCTGCCAAGAGGCCTACAGCAACATTAAAGGAGCTGCAGGAATTTCTGGCAAGTACTGGTTGTGTAGTGCATGTGACAATCTCCCATATTCTTCATATGTCTGGGCTGTCGGGTCGGGTGGCAGGATGGAAGCCTTTTCTCACAAAGAAAAACTTCCAAGCCTGGCTGCGTTTTGCCAAAATGTACATCAAGTCTGCCAAAAGTATGTGAGAAAACGTGTTACGGTCTGATGAGACCAAGGTTGTTGAACTTTTTGCCATAATTCCAAAAGGTATGTTTGGCACAAAGCCAACACTGTGCATCAACAAAAGAACACCATGCCCACAGTGAAGCGTGGTGGAGGTCGCATTATGTTTATGCAACTGGAATTGGGGCTTTAGTCAAGGTGGTGCGAATTATGTTCCAAATACCAGTCAATTTTGGCACAAAACCATCAGGCCTCTGCCAAAAAGCTGAAGATGAAGAGGAGTTTCACCTTTCAGCACGACAATGACCCAAAGCATACCTCCAAATCAACAAAACAATGGCTTCACCAGAAGAAGGTCAAAGTTTTGGAATGGCCCAGCCAGAGCCCAGACCTGAATCCCATTGGAAATCTATGGGTAGACCTGAAGAGGGCTGTACACAGGAGGTGCCCTCGCAATCTGACTGATTTGAAGTGCTTTTGCAAGGAAGAGTGGGCAAAGATTGCTCATGCTGATAGACTCCTACCCAAAAAGACTAAATGCTGTCATAAAGTCAAAGAGTACTACAACAACGTATTAGTTTAAGGGTGTGCATATTTAAGCAACCACATTATTTTAGTTCTTTATTTTTATTTCCCCCCTCTAAATGAGTTCAGTTTGTTTTTCAATGGGATTGTACAGATTTATTTCCACATTCAATGGTCAAAACCTGTCATTTTAACAGGGGTGTGTAGACTTTTTATAAACCACAATTCTGTCCCTCTGGAATACTAGTCTCATCTCAAAAATAATGAATTGTGCAAATTTTTAGGTTGATTTACAGAAACACTTGTTTTGTTGAAATGTTTACTAACAGAATTCAGTAACTGCACTAGCTTCACATTCACTTCTGTTATAATCAGTATCTGTCCTGTATATGGAAACTGACCTTATGATACAGATAGCAGACAGAGATTAGTTAACAAAGAATTAGAGCATTCTTTAAAATTGGTACTCTTGCTGTTTGCAGCAGGTGGTCTTCATGAATCAGGAAAGATGGTGTGCAATAGTTGTTTTTCTTTCTAAAAATAATGGGGAAAAACTATGCAAAATTAATTACTTTCTTGACTTACAGTTTTTCTTTTTTTTTAGTACATTTAAAAGTAGTTGGCCCAGCTGCTCCTCTTGTTGCTGAAGCTGGTGAAGATCTGGTTCTGCCCTGTTCTCTCAAACCCAGCATCAGTGCTGAGGACATGATGGTGGAGTGGATCAGAACAGATCTGATTGAAACTGACAATCTAGTGCATCTCTATGAAGATCATGGAGACAGAAATGATGATCAGATGGTGACTTACAGAGGGAGGACAGCTATATTTAAGGCAGAGCTGCAGAAAGGAAACACCTCACTGAAACTCTCAGCAGTGCAGCCTTCGGATGAGGGAGTTTACAAATGCTTAATTCGGTACAGGTCCTCGTTTGATGATATACCTCTTTATGTTGAAGTTAAAGGTATGAGCATACACAGTTATAATCTATAATTACTTATGAATTAACTATTTTGCATCAGATGTATTAAATCATCTTCATAGTACTTATATATAGTGACTACCATTAGAGTATTTCAACTCCTTACAAGCAAAATTTTAAATTACCTTAATGTGGGAAGCATTCAGTATGTAAGACATTGTCACAGTGTCATATCACAGTTAATGGTGACAGCCCAAAGTCATTTCATGATTATGTTATTAATCTTAATATATCGCAGGAGGGCAAATTAAGTTAACGTGATGTTTGGTCTGCTGTAATTTTTTATTTGGTTTGTATTTCAGAACAAGGTTTTCACGCCTGGAAGATTGCTGTCATCTGCTTTTTTGTTTTTGCTGTTATATTAGGTGCCTTAACAGCTTACATCTTGAAAGGTAATTTTTATGTTAATAACATTTAATTTTTAAAAAGAACACTGGATCATCTTGCATGCACAGGAAAGATAATGTGTACGTGTTTCATGACTTCTGGGCGACTATAGACAAGTCACACAGTGAAGTTAAAACAGTGTCTTAGTAAGATGTTAGGTCACTATGAGCTCCCAGAACAGCTTCAAAGTGCATTGATTCTACAAGTCTCTGGACCTGTACTTGAAGGATGGAACACCTTTCTTGCAAAGGATTTTGCCTCAGCTGGCCTTTGAGTGATGGTGGTGGAGAACTCTTTATAAAACAACAAATGGGTTGAGATCTGGTGACTGCAGTGGCCATAACATGTGGTTAACATTATTTTTAAACAAGTATGCGGCACTGTTGTCTTAGAAGAGACGACTCTCATCAACATAGAAACGTTTCATTATAGATAAAGGTGATTGGTCAGAATAAATTTGAATTGATTTACAGTGACCATTCCGTGTAAGGGTCAAAGTGGGACAAACCATATCAACAAAATGCCCCCCCCCCCACAGTACAACAGCTGCCAGACCCTCTCACTGTTGGGATCAAGCCTTCTGATCTGTACTGCACACATATACTTGGCCACTTGTGGAGAAGATGGAGAAGGATGACCATATCACTTTTTACACTGCTTTTTTTTTTATCACAGTGCGATAAACATTTATAATTAATTTTTCTGCACCTCAGTTCACCTTTGAAGAATCCAGAATGCCAGTGTATGACCAGTGAAACCAGTTTTCCTTCAGCCCTGATATGCTAGCAATGAACATTGCAGTACTGCTACTAAATGGTTCATTTATATGCAGAGGTCTCAGTACACTGTGATAATACATTAGTTTAAAACAAATCAATTATTCTACTTTCGAAGCTGAATAACACAGAGAATCATGTTCTTGTATGAGGTAACTGAATAGTGTGCTTTCAATAGCAGAATTTTTTGGTAGCTACTTTGCTAAATACTGCTGCATACTGCCAGAGACTATTTTTGGTACAGTAGTATGCATACAGTGACAATGCTTGGTGGACACCCTTTCAGTCAAGCCACTACTATTATTTTTTGTACAGTTTCAGCACTAATTTGACATATTTGGTCTTAAACCAAGTCTAGTGTAGTCATCTGAAGGTAACCTTAACTGAGATCTCATCACAAAAGTCACAACACTTTTTGGAAGTGCTTGGTTTGGTCTTACAATCTTTTTTTTGTCTCTGGAAGCTAATGTCCTACAGTCAGTGAAAAATCTAAGAAAATAGGATGGAGATTACAAAATTATACTTTAAAATCAACCTTGAGCTGGCCTTCATTGTCCTCTGATTTGAATATTACTGGAAATCTGATAGATCTTAAACATGATGTGCATGCAAGATGACCTGTACATATTTCTGTACTACATATTTCTACAATGAAACCTAAATCAAGAATGGAAAGTCTGGCAAAAAAAGGTTTAGAGGCTATGATATCAGTCAAAGGAGGTCTTGTTAAACATTTAAGGTCTTAATAAGTTTTATTTATATAACATAATAAATGCTGCAAATAAATATTAATTGAATATTAAATTTGCAGGAGTATATCATATTTATCTTTTTTCATGCAGAGGGGATTTTAATTTATTGTAACGCTGGGTTGACAAACCAGACATTCAGATGTAAAATAAACCATAAGGTTTATTAAAAGGAGTATGATCCAAAAGAATAAGGTTAATACCAGACCAGGCCAAAAACAAGAAGAGCCAAACACGGTAAATAGGATCAGGCAAAAAGAGTAAAGAGTAAACAGGCCAGAGTCTAAACCAAATAGCAAACAAACCGGTAACCTTAGCCAAAAGGGAAAATCCATGAATCAATAACAATAGACAAAACAGGGTGATAACAGGAGACAGAAACTACAGATAAAGTCTTGGTATGCACTGGAAAATATAGGCAATACTTTGCAATGAAAGATTCAAAAAGACAGGTATATATACAGGGGCAATCATCATGACCGTCATCATCATCATTAACCGCTTAGTCCAGATAGGGTTGCGGTAGCAGTTAAGAGAGCAGAGAATCCCAGACAACCCTGTCCCCCGCAACTTCCTCCAGCTCATTCCCGGGGACCCCAAGCCACTCCCAGGCCAACTTGGAGATATAATCCCTCCAGCGGGTCTTACGACGACCCTGGGGTCTTGTCCCTATAGGCCGTGCTTAGTACACCCCCACTGGGAGGCGTCTAGGGGGCATCCGGATCAGATATATACAGGGGCAAACAGGTGAAAACAATTAGTATTCTGGTGACTGTGATCTGCTGGTTAATGGGTTGGCTGGCTAAGTCACATGACAGACAAGAATCCTGAGAGTTTGTAAGGTGGTTAGAGTTGGACTGAAAACTGAGAAGCATTACATTTATTTTCAATTAAAAATCAACAAAATGTGTAATTTGACCAGGAGCTCCTAAACTTTTGTATACATTTTATAGGCCATAGATTTTTTAAAAAAAAACAGTCATCTGATGACCCTATCTAAACTGATCTCATGACAGAGTCCCCTGCCCCACTTCATGACTTTGCACAAATAGATCTTAATAGGCATAACTCATAGCTTTCAGCAGCAAGCTAATCAGTTAAAATCCAAATGCAGGAGCTGGTTGCACCCTGCTGGTTCATACACAAGCTGATTAAATATCTACTAAGTATTAAAATGCACCTTTTTCTAAAAAAAATAGGTATTGCTGGCCAATATTAGTGGCATTTATTTAAATTACAAATCACTGACCAAAGTCATTAGAAGTACATAGCTGATAAATATTCATTAAAGAAAAAATCAAATGAAAGCCTACTACTATTTGTCTTTGATTTCAGATAAATTTTCAAAAAAGGAACTCTCTCCTGCACAATGCTCAGCTGTAGCCTACATGCATCTTAAATCACAATATGTGCGTGAAGAGTTGGACCTGAAGAAATACAACACATCAGAGGAGGGTTACAGAAGACTCATCCCAGCTATGACAAACTGCAGAAAGGCTCAGTGAGTGTTTAACATAAATATTATTAAGCCAATATTAGTGCCGTTATGACCTATGAGCAACATGGAATTTCAGACTAGTCTAGGTGGTTTAAAGAGATAATATAAAAAGAGAAACGAAAACAATCCAGACTCGTGTGAATATTGGGTCTAAAAACAGTACGTGTGTTACATTATATCGGTTAACTCCAAAGCCGTTCCAGGATTTCTTGCTCTGTGAATCCAAGAAAACAAAATAAAGTCAGAGCAGTACAAGACTGGAAGAATTACATGGAATTGCAGTTTTAAATGTTATTGTTCAGACAATTATGAATTCAAACACATTTTCTGAAACAAATGTTTTACTTACTTTCTTTTCTTCTTTCTGTAGATTTGCTGGATGTAACCTCTCTGTACAGTCCATTAAAACTTTGAGTGCAGCTCTACAAACAGAAAACTCTCTGAAAGAACTGGACCTCAGTAACAATAACCTACAGGATTCAGGTGTAGAGCTTCTCTCTGCTGGACTGAAGAGTTCACACTGTAAACTGGAGATACTAAGGTCAGAATTCCCAAATTTAATGACATTTTGCTATTGTGTTTCACACAATACAGAAGTATGCAACTAATGAATTTGCTGTATGTATGTATGTATTTTTTTATATACATATTTTCAGACAGGTATTTTCTAATGAAATTGATCCAGGTTTAACATTGTATTAGACATGTAGAGGCAAAATAGTTACATTTGTACTGCAGATTTGTCAACATTTATTATAATTTAAGAAGGATATGGATATTCGTGTTAAGAAGGAAAAAGATTTGATTTTAATAATGCTAGGGTAATGTGCAGGGAGTCATGCAGACCAATGTCAAAGAGTATTCATCTAACAGTGGTTGATAAACACTTGCAGACAGAAAAAATTGCTTGAAAGTACGGTGAGAAGGTAATTGTGGACCAGAAGCAGGAAACAGTTAGACTTTGGGTTTGTCCAATACAAAAAAGAATCAATAAAAAACAAATAGATAGCCTGCCACCCTGTATGACACAAAAACAGAGGCAAACCCCAAAACAAAATTACAGCGCAATTTTTTTAATGTACACCTGGTGAAGTTGTTACGAAGTATACCAGAAGGGAATCTATATACAAAATATATGAGAAGCTAAAAGGTGTCAAAGGACACAAAACAAAGTCAGAAGGCAAACAGTCATAGAGTAATGCCAGCCTTACACCAAACAACTTTTCTCTGCTTGTAAATTTCTACCAGGTACATGATGGGAAATAATCTCAAAAGTCTAGTTGCAGTCTTGCAAATAGTGACACTGCAAGATCTACAGTCTTTGCAAAATCATAGTCTGTGACTAAAAACTGTGACCCTGTCTTTAGGTGTGAAGAGGGTGTCAGACTTTAATCTTTCAAAGTCTTCTAGTGTATGGTTAGCATAAGCAAGATTTAAGAAGTAAATGAATAACTCAAAGCAATTGAGCTGAAGCTATTGGTGAAGGAGAATAGGATTTTTTTGTTCTTGTAAGGCGACATAGTAATAGTCGTGTAGTAGTGGAGTGTGTGGGGACAAAAGACAAAAACTTGATCATGGAATGACAGCAGCACAAATGTCCCAGGCTAGGAAGACAGAGACACAAAAAACAGTAACATAAAAAGAAGTGGTATATTTCACCACCCTGGTTGACAGCAAAAGAGAAAACTGAACTCTTGACTTACTGCTCTAGGCTGCTGAATGTAGCCTGCTGATTTTTTTTTTTATTGTTACTCCTTTAGAAACAGTGGAATATCTGGTTTGCTGGTGTACATCTACTACAAACCGACAAACAAAACAGCTCCACCTAGTGTCAGGGCATAGGATTGATAGTATAACAATGTTACTGTATAGTTCCTGAGTGCTACAGCAATATGTCATGTAAAAGTATGTACTGTAATGTGTGCATATTTTGTGTTATGAATCTTTTATAACCATAAATACGTTAGGCCAGTGTCCCAGATTAGGATTAAGCCTAGTCTTGTACTGTATTTTCTGTTCAGTGGAAAATCACCATTCAAAATCCTCTCTGGCTTAATCACTGTCTGGGAAACCAGCCCCTTATAAATGTAACAATTACAAGCATAATTTGGATATTTCTCAAGTAGGTTTAGTGTGGGCTTAGGATCAAAGGCAGTTTATTTCCTGAATAGATTTTAATTTATTCATGATTACATGATATGTTTATTCATTTATATATATATATCCAAATAACGTTTCACATTTTTAAAAATGATTGTTGTTTTAATTGTTACTGTACTACTCACATGAATATATATTAATAAATATGAATTAATACTATTAATATGCTATGAATGCTTCAAGTACATGCAGCTATTGTAAAATATTACAATCTACTGTATTCATTTTATAATAGGAGCCAATACATGCAAAAATCACACTGATGTACAAAAGAGGCTATTAGCTGCTAGTACAAACATTACTGCTCACCACCAGCAACTGTCCAGTTTAAAATTCATTGCTTGGCATTTCAACCTCAGAAAGACATTAAAATACTTTTTTGTTGTTGTTTCATTGTTTGAAATTGAGTGTAGAGAGTAACTGTATCACCTATTGCACCCCAGAACTGACCAGAATTTGACCAGTTTGAATTTGAATATTCAATTTGTAATATGTCTACTTTATAAGCTGAATAACAGTAATAGTAAGAATTGCTGCTGTACACTGCAGACATTCTTCACTCCTGCAGCAACCCTGTTTTAGTTTATATACTTAATGTCGCTACTATTCAAAAAGTTGATATCACTTCTCAAAAGATAGAAATAAATATTTTCAATATAAGGAAATCATTTGATTTGCAGATAAATGTATAAAATTATTTGAATTGGTTACTTCTGTGCAATTCACATGTTTCAGATAACCAGTAGGGCAGTAGTAGTTGATATAAAAATCAAATAATGTCAGATGCAAATACACAGATAAACATACATCCATCCTATTTACAAAAACTCTTCAAGAGTTTGAAGGTAAGAGAACACAGACTGTGTCCAGAATGATGAGCAGAGCCAACAAGAATTTCCAATACCAGGAAAACTGAGAAGCATTGAGAATTAAATTACAACAAAATGTATGTCCAGAATTATATTTCAAAAGTAGAAATCAAATGCCAAGATAAATAACTCTACAAAACATGTATATGGAATATTTGTATAATTTTTTCATCAATCAAAACTTATCTGTATCATAAATTTATTCTGCTAAATATTTTAAATATTAGGTTTGTAAGCATGTTTTATATTTTTGTTGTTGGAACCATGCTCAAGTTTACCAGTTAAAGCTGTATTGTTGTTATAAACAACAATAAAGGTAAACATTTCTCTAATTATAGTACCATACGTGCATGAAACCAATTGAATTTTCTGATCATTCTAATCATGCGATTGGCTCATTATTGTTTGATGCGACTTGATATCAATCAACAATATGCAGTTACTCCTTTTTCAAATGGATGCTGGACTTCTTGACTGGGAGACCTCAGTCCATCAGGATCGGCAATACCTCCTCAAGTTTGCTGATGATACTACAGTGGTGGTTCTTATCAGCAACAATAACAAGTCATCATACAGAGAGGAGATGGGGTGTATTGCAGACTGGTGCAGAGATAACAATATATCTCTTAATATAAATAAGATAAAAAAAAGATTATTGTAGACTTAAGGAGGAACCGCGGTGGTCCACTGCACATCGAGGGTTCAACCTTGGAGAGAGTCAAAATCTCCTCACATCAATGATTTCCCTTGCTCTGTATCAGAAAATCCATTGGAGTCCATGGGCTCCATATGGGCCTTGTGTGTGTTTGTGTAAAACAAATACGGCCAAACTGCAAGCAGGACCTGTGTGAGCAATCACCCGTTGCTCACACAGGTCCTATTGGTAATTTGGGCAGTAAACCTGGGCCCTAAGTGGGTTATCACGTGTATTACATACGGTTACCATAGGCCAACATGTGAATTTCTGTGGTATTTTAAATGGCTTCAACTTGTTCACACTGTGTAATTGACAGCAGACATCACAAACATAGAATGCCAAGTCAGTGTACTTTGATAATCTGAATACAAAACAATGTTTACTACAACATTTGAAAATGCTTCAGTGTGCAGTCCTGTATTACATATTATTAAAAAGGAAAAAAGAAAGAAAAAACATTATTAATTCAACTTCACATAGCCGTTGCAACACTAAGCAAGGTATCTGCAAGTATCAACATTTACCACACAGTTTAAAATGGATTTGACCCCGTAAGAAAAAAGTTTTTTTCTGTCTTTTATAATAATGTGGGAATTTTAATTTTAATTTCCTCAAACATCCTTTTTTCATTGTGATGTTAGTATCTAGCTTATAGTAGTTTGTTGTCACTTACACTGTATTGCCAAAAGTATTCGCTCGTCTGCCTTCACACGCATATGAACTTGAGTGACATCCCATTCTTAATCCATAGGGTTTAATATGATGTCGGCCCACCCTTTGCAGCTAGAACAGCTTCAACTCTTCTGGGAAGGCTTTCCACAAGGTTTAGGAGTGTGTTTATGGAATTTTTGACCATTCTTCCAGAAGCGCATTTGTGAGGTCAGACACTGATGTTGGACGAGAAGGCCTGGCTCGCAGTCTCCGTTCTAATTCATCCCGAAGGTGTTCTATCGGGTTGAGGTCAGGACTCTGTGCAGGCTAGTCAAGTTCTTCCACACCAAAGTCACTCATCCATGTCTTTATGGACCTTGCTTTGTACACTGGTGGACAGTCATGTTGGAACAGGAAGGGGCCGTCCCCAAACTGTTCCCACAAAGTTGGGAGCATGAAATTATCCAAAATCTCTTGGTCTGCTGAAGCATTAGGAGTTCCTTTCACTGGAACTAAGGGGCCATGCCCAACTCCTGAAGAACAAGCCCACCCCATAATCCCCCCTTCACCAAACTTTACACTTGGCACAATGCAGTCAGACAAGTACCGTTCTCCTGGCAACCGCCAAACCCAGACTCATCCATCGGATTGCTAGACGGAGAAGCGTGATTTGTCACTCCAGAGAACACGTCTCCACTGCTCTAGAATCCAGTGGCGGCGTGCTTTACACCAATGCATTCGACGCTTTGCATTGCGCTTCGTGATGTAAGGCTTGGATGCAGCTGCTTGGCCATGGAAACCCATTTGATGAAGCTCTCTTGAGCTAATCTGAAGGCCACATGAATTCCCAATCGCTTCCACTTTGTTAGAATACCACTGACAGTTGCCGGTTTAATATTTAGTAGTGAGGAAATTTCACGACTGGACTTGTTGCACACGTGGCATCCTATCACGGTACCACGCTGGAATTCACTGAGCTCCTGAGAGCAACCCATTCTTTCACAAATGTTTGTAGAAGCAGTCTGCATGCCTAGGTGCTTGGTTTTATACACCTGTGGCCATGGAAGTGATTGGACACCTGAATTCAATGATTTGGATGGGTGACTGAATACTTTTAGCAATATAGTGTATCTACACTGGGTTTAATGCTACTTATACAATTCT